ATCACTCTGAGTGTAGTTTTTGAATATTTTTTTGTTGGGGCACCCATAAAAAAAGCAAATGAATCTACTATACAAATTCCTTACTAACTAGAGATAGAGAGTCATATTGGATTTCACCTGTGGAGATATTCATAGAGAGATTTTTATCTAGTCCACCACCAACCTTCTTCAGAGCTTTATAGTCCTTCTTAAAGCAACATTTATTCACATAGTTCCAACATTCATCGCTTACATTTCCTCTTCCAAACCTAGACTTTTATGTCCTAAACTTGAATGTTTCCTTGTATTTCTATCCAGATTTATTCATTTGTTTTTAACATTCAACCTAGAATTTGAAGTTTTACCACTCAACTTCTAACGAACTTTTTCATTCAACACTAACCACACAATGTCATCAAAGTTTAATTTCATATTACCTGAAGTGTTACAACCACAACCAGTCCATCGCTACTGTCTGGCAATGAAGATAGGATTAAAAATGTCATGACCCAATCATCGAACTTGATGCCCATAAAAGACAATTGGTTTGTCATAGTGTTGAAATTCAAATGTTTAGCCATTAACGTATATTCCACCATTTTCATATTGAATACTCTCTTCATCAGAAAAACTTTATATGAAGTTGAGAACTTCTCATACATCCTTGTAAGTGTAGTTAAAAAACTATTGTAGTTTTCTAATTCAAAATATTGCATACAACAAATGAAGAAAGTGAAAGACAGATCAAACCTAATATTGTTTGATCAAGGACTTCACATTCTTCCAGAGTGATCGATTCAGGTTTCTTGGTGATTCGTTCCAGTGGCAAATATAATTTTTTTTATACATTAAATGTTTAACATGTTTTTTTTCAAAATGCAAAGTTCGAACCATTGAACTTTTCCACTGTATATCTTACTTCGTCGGTCATTGCTTCCATTTGAATCAAAGATCTTTAGAAAATCCAGCTCTGATACCACTTGTTTGGAAGATATTCATTTCACTTGAATTGCAAAAAAACACTAATTTGAGAGATCCGAAGCAAACAATTGAACAGAAGCGCACAAAAAACAAACCCAAAATATAACACATTTAACATGGGAAAACCCGAGAACTGGAAAAATCACGGAGCCACACCACAGCAAGAAATTACCTATGAAATAAGGAGAAATGTACATATTACACCACACTCAAACTCTATCTACAATCTTGGAAATCAAAAGCACTTCTCTCTTAATCACATGAGAAATACAAAAAACCACCTTCACATGATCTTTTGTATGCACCACACATTCTACTTTTTACCCTCATTCGCGCCCTTCCAAGAGAGTTTTCCAAATTTCGCATTGAGGACTTAAATGCTTAGTTGCTCGAACTATTTCTAGCACTGGATCACATGTCACAAATGTCAAGTTCTCAGAAGCTCCATTCCTGGAATGCAGAAAACGTGCTCCTGGCCCCTCCTGGGTGTTGCTTTTCCGGACTATCTGAACCTAGGCACTAGGATTCTTGCGCCTGAGCGCCCCCACTGGCACCGGAGCACCACATAAGGTGTTGCAGGTGCTTCCCAGTTGTTGGGCGCTTCCCCTAGCCCCAATCAGGCTTCATACATAACACTCTTCGTACTTCAGCTAAGGCTTCAAAAATTGAGGGAAAAGGTTCGGTTCTCAAGATTTTTCCTCTAACTTCATCTAATTCCTTGTTGAGTCCTAGAAAGAACTTGGTGGTTCTCTTCTGTTCAACAATGGTTTTGTAAACAATAGGGTCTTGTGAGCAACTCCAAGTGTAGGTTTCATACATATCTAGTTGGGGTCGATATTCGGAGACAGTGTTGAAGTATTGAGTAACATTCGATTCACCCTAGTGCAACATTTTAATCTAGTTTAAATGTTAAACAACTCAAAGGTGTTGTCAACAAATGAATAAGTTTCCCTTACAACATCCTATATTTCTTTTATTGTTTTGTACAAGAGAAAGTTTTCTCTAAACTTATGTGGTCATGAATTTAACAAGCCATAACATGACTCTATGATCTTACATTTTCCTCGACGAGATGATATTTTCATTTACCATGGATATACATGAACACAGATTAAGACCATTTGTGAAAGTTGTTGCCAAAAAATTTGTGATTAATGATTTAGGAAGAAATTTCAAATCTAGAACCAAAGATCCTAGGTTTATGTTCAGAAGTAACTTCCAAAGAGCAAGATGTAGCTTACATTCTGTATTTTGATCATCATGAGGATTTCCACAATAGAGAGGAAGTGTCTATCGCCAACATGAATTAGAGAGTAGTTGTCTGTCGTCAACATGGGATTTCCACCAAAGAGAGAAATTGTTTGTCACGATACAAGATTTCCACTAAAGAGGAAACATCTATTATCGACACAGAATTTCCACTAGAGAATTCGTCTATCACTGACACAGGATTTCAAGTTGAGAGTGATCCAACTGGTGCTTAGTATTTCCACTAGAGAGAGAATTCAACCAACGAATGCTTAATCCGTAATTTCCACTAGAGAAGGAAATTCTGAGGTTTCCCTTCGGCAGAGAAGGTCGGATGCTAGCATGGTTAAGCAGAAGGGCTATCCGGCAAGATCTAGGCTCAGCGGAGGCCACTGATGCTATAGCGGAAAGGAGATGGCCGACGGAGGAGAGCCTGAGGCAATGAGAGGTCGGTGGCAAGAGCAGAGATATGCAGGCTGGTTGGAGGAATTCCAATGGTTGTAGGGAACAATATGGCTACTTGACGCTTGTTGGAGAGGTTTAAGCATCTGACAGAAGAACTAGAGTTTGTTTCCTTGCTCTGATATCATATAAAATTTAGAAAGAACTTTCTTAGAGAAAAAAACTCTCTAATTTTCTCATTGAACTAATATAAGCAAATAACAAATATTTACAGCTCAGGCTAACCCTCATACAATTAGAGAGAAGAAATTCAAATTATCATGATAAAGAAAAAAATAAAATGCAATAATGGATAATTAAAGGGAGAATAATTTCACCCCCTCAAATGTAACAGCGAACCCACAGTTTCGTAAACCGTGGGTGGGCCAATGCGATCCATGGATATGCATATCAACAGTATGATACCAACATTTGATGGGCATCTACATTTTAATGACATCGAGAAGGTTCCCACACCAACACTATCGATCACCTCAAATCTAAAAATCTCCAAGCCTTTTATGGCCTCCCGATGGCATGTCCTAACTGGCACTTATGTTTCTTTCTAAAGCCCATGAGTCCCAGCTAGCATAGAATCTTCTAGTCGACCGTCCAAAGAAACAGCCAACAAATTTTGTTCTCTGACATCCACAACTCTTTTGAATGCTTCTATGATAGCCTCCTATCATTTGGCTCTAGCCTAACTAATCTAACAACCACGATCAAGCCTCTTAAGACCACAACGCTCATTCTGAGTATATTCCACCTAATGTTTGCATGAGAGATATGTCTTTCATACCATAACCACCAATCATAACAACTAGGAAAATGTTTTTGAATGCATAAACACAATGGTTGGAAACAAAGTGAAGAATACCAAGCTATCAGATTCAAACGCTCATCCTGCAGAGGGAAAAAAAAGGATTGCCTGTAGCTCTTGCTTGATTATAATAGTAGTTTGAGCATCCAATCAAAGGTTGACCTTCCTCTTTGTAAAAGCTCAAACAAAATTATGTGGGATCCTCTCCACCTATTTAGACATGTACTCTTCCATAGAGAATGATGAGACTTCCTCTCTCCTATTCTCCATCTTTATCCATCACGTACTACCACCGCAATTAGGATCAGTTGGGCTTCCCTTATATTGTCTACATTGCAACATTAGATGGTAAATTTCACGACACAATCAATGTAGGTAATATACATACCAATCACTGTATTCCTATCTTTATCTTTCTTATCCTTCTACAAGGATACCTCAATTACCCCGTGAGGTTCCCCAAAACCACCTCCGATAACCAATCACCACCTTCACCTCCTCAAAACCGTTTTCTTTGCCTTTCTTCAGCCCCCACCAATAAATAAATAAACATCTTGGGCTAAAGGCTCTCTCTCCCTCTCTCATTTTTTAAACACTAACTCCTCACACAAGATGCAAAGCCTGAAGCAACATTGAAAAGGATAAGTTGATTCCATAAACTTTTCCAGGTTAACTGCTGCACAACACCTGAAAATATCTTCTCAAAGAAGAATAAACTTTTAGAAAGCCTCCCTATGATCGATAGATAAAAAAGAACGAATAAATTATATAAAGTAACAATCAACTCCTTTAAATCAATCGAATAACTGTTGGTAATAAGATAAGAGTCTAAAAAATTTATACCCCAATAGCGTGGACTCCTCTATGTCCTTAGTGATGCCTGGAACAAAGCTAAAAGATGTCATGGCCGCCACCCATACCCCCCACAATGCAACCTCAAATAACAAGCTCATTCCATGACACCGTGGAATAACTGACAACCAATCAACTGGCTCAAGCTTGTCCTTATTGAATATCTCAAACCATATCAAATTACTCTCTTCCGCTCTTGGATCATTTATTATACTTTATGTGCCCACAAAGTACAAAGCCCCTAAATTCAATTTTGGAGGACTTCAATTTTAAAAGGCCACGTCAATGTTAATGGAAGTTTTGAACGGGTGAATAATTGTGACTAAAAAAATTCTCAACTCGCTACCTCAACAAAATTAACGTTAATAACTGAAAGATGGTCGAACCAAGAAACTTGTCTCAGCATTGTAATTTTGGGGGCCTTTGGCATGTTATTGAACTGAAAGTTCAACAACCCAAAATAAGGAGGCACTTAATAGGATCATAAATTTCATCCAATCAACACAATTGTAAATCTCAAAACAGAAAAAACTAGTAAAGTTTAACCAAAGGACCAACGAAACTCCAAATTAAGACAATGTATTGTGAAAACAATTGTACCATCTCAGTGATTCCAATGACATCAAAAAAATGGTGAACTATGATTACTCTTTATCGATGGCGATAATCTAATCTTATGAACTTTAAAGTATTATGATTCCAATAAAAATCAAATTAACAAGCCATTTATAGCATTCAATTGCTCTAAAAAAGAAAAGTTTTAATGGGGGAACAACTGCAAAAATTTCAGTATACCTGTTTTCATGGAATCAAAATGGCAGGTAACTCCTTTTCCTGAATCCGAAAGCAGATAAAAATGTAGATTGCTAGCTCATAGTGACACCACCCAGATATGGTAGTTTCACAAAACACTCAAGATAACATTCTGAAATCTACTACTCACAAACTCAAGGCAGTAACTACGTTATTCAAGCATGGAGGACTGAAAATATAAATTTGCACCGTTGAACTTGCATTTAGCTGCTGCAGCTTTCGGGAAGTTAGAGCATGATAATCCTCTCTAAATCTTTCTTAAATGATCAGTTTAACCAAAATCTTGAGGTTGACACATTACGGACTTGAGTGCCACGATTGGCCAGTTTTTGAAGCCGAGATGAAAATTCATTTGCCTGAAAAAATGGTCCAGAAGGAAATTATTTGAGATAAGAGCATCTATGATATCCATAAGACCAGAATACCCACAAAAAAAATAATAAAATAAAAAACAGCCGCAAGTGCCAACAAATTTCCAATATATATTGGGATAAGAGGGGAACTAGCTAACACCCCCTATAATGCAGTTAACCAATAGCAAATCTTTCAAAGGTTTGTTTTTGTTTCCTTGGTTGCAATTTGAAGATATCAATGATTGGAGGATATTTATGCAGGAAAAATATAATTACCCGCAAAACACTCAGAAGGTATACTACAGCTGGGCATATAAGGTAGTGGGTCACCGGGGCTAAAAGGTAAAAACCCCGTTCACTTTGCAGGTTCCTCAAAGGGAATCTGTGACTTCCTCCCAGGCGGTCAACTGCAAATCCGAGTCCCTACTCGTGCAAAACACCTCTAGTGTTTTACAGCAAGTAACCAGTGAATATCACGTGGTCCCTTTACTGTCTTCGTGTACTTCATGATGTAGCTTTTTTTAATGCTCCCCAACCACATTCCAAACCTATAAATAGAGGTCATGGGAAGGAACACTTATTCCATCCGGACACTGGACATAAATTTACGTCCGGAGTCTAGTGGAGGCACTTGCCACGTGGTAAGTGGGCCCCACTGTAATGCACTGGTTGGCAAGTTTTTTAGAGGAGTGAGACCCACTTGCCACCTGACACATGCCCACTGGATTCCGGACACAAATTTTGTGTCTGGTGTCTTGATGGAATAATTTTTCGATGAGAAGAGCCCAAATCATGAAAATTAAATTATCTAACTTAACTTCTTGTACTCAAACCTTCAATAATAGAATTTTAATAGAATTTTAAAGCTTATTACTTTGCAATCCTCTTGTCTTTATTTTGCATTTCCTCTCTTATTTCTTTGTGCTAAATAGCAATTGATGCACAAACAAACAATTCAAGATTCAACAGAACACTAAGCTCGACCCATTGATATCGTTGCATGGCATCAATATACAACTCTGCTTGCTTTGCCAAACTGATAAGCATTGACACCAAAATCAGCAAACCAACCATGACGAAATGGCAATAAATAGGTGAGAGAAACACAAACAAGGACTGCTCTTACAAAAATTAAAAGCAAACAAGCAAGATACAAGGTTGATCAACTTTCAAGAAGCAGATAGGCTCTCCCACACCCTAAGAACAACACAAAAAGAAAAAAAAAACCGCAGCTAAACAAAAACATGCATAAGAAGAAAAAAACAACAAACCATAGGTTCTTCCATTAACAGAATCCTCCCAAAGCATTTGAAAACTTTCCCTCTAAACTCTTTTAATTCTCCTCCTGACATAGGTGATTATGGACCTATTAAACCCCACCCTTTCCTTTCCCTCTTCTACGGCTCCTACTATCTGCTTCCCTTCTTCCTTTCGCCAAGACCAACACGTCTGTGGATCGGTTCCACTACTTCCAGCCGGTAAAAGGTTGACCGACACGTCTACTTGCTAAGATGGTGTAACATTACTCCGCTCAAAAAAGGTACATTGTTCTCAAGTTGGAAAAATGGACCGCTTATGGATCACCTTATAAGGCTCTCATGCTGCCTCATAGTCTGGCAGCCCCTTCCATTTGACCAATTCCTCATTCGCAACCCCTACTTCTCGGTGCACTCCTTCGATCTCTAACGGTTCCAAAATCACCTTTAAGTCCTTTGTTAGTGTTTGCAGTAGTGTAGGCAAGGGTGTATAATCTCCAATCGCACGTCTCAGCTATAATACAGGTAGTGTGGATGACGGTGGTAACCTCAAACGGTAGGCCACTGCCCCGATGCATGACATCACCTCATAAGGCCCAAAGTATCTCGATGAAAGTTTCTCGCTCCTCCTCCTAACTAATGTCTCCTGTCGGCAAGGCCTTAGCTTCAAGTATACCATGTCCCCTGGTTCGAATTGCACCTCTCTCCTGTGTCCATCAGCCTTCCGCTTCATGATTTGTTGAACCCTCATAAGATGCCCCTTGAGCTTTGCTAGTATCTTGTCCCTCTCCTCCAAATACTGAGCAATGTTGGATACCAATATAGTGCTATACCCATAATGAATCAAGTGAGATGAATCCCGTCTGTACAATATCTTGAAAGGGATTGTCTGTGTTGCGGTGTCTTACATAGTATTATACAAATATTCGGCCCATGCAATCCACTTAGCCCATAACTTTGGTGTATCGGACACAAAACAATACAGGCATGTCTCCACACTCATGCCACCTCCGTCTGCGGATGATAGGCAATGATCTTTTTAAAGACTATCTCTTGCAACTTAAATAGCTCTTTCCAGAAATAGCTGAGGAACACCTTGTCTCTATCCGATACAATCGATTCCGATATCCCGTGCAAACGTAATCACTTCCCGAATAAACGCCACCGCGACTGAGACCGCAGTGAAAGAATGTCGTAAAGGAATCAAACGTGCATGCTGACTTAAGCGATCAAAATCATCGTGAATCCTTCGAACCCTAACAACCACTCAATAAAATTCATCATTACTTCTTCCCAAACCTTCTCCGATAATACTAATGGTTTTAGTAACCCCGTGGCATTGTGGTCAAGTACATGCGTCGTTGGCGCACATCACATTTTCCAACCATGTCCACGTCTCTGCGCAACCCAATTCAATAAAACTTTGCTGCCATACGATTGTAGTCTTCTGCACCCTTGAATGTCAATTGATTGTATTGCCATGAAACTCTTGCAATAATCTGAGAATATACTCCAACGACTTGGATAGCACGAATCACCCCTGGTGAAGCAACTGTTGTCCTCTCAATGCATATCCCGAATGACTCTTTGAATTCTGTAGTAATTAGGCTCTTATCTTCCTCAGTTTCTTATCCCTTTCACACTCCTGTCTCAAGGCTTCTTAATCCATGACCAAGGGTACTGATAGGAACGTCAATCGGGGTTCATCCACCTTTCTCGACCATGCGTCAGCTGCCTTGTTCTTCAATCTTGGTCGATACTGAATCTCAAAATAATACCCTGGCAGCTTTGATAGACATATCTGATATTTCTCAGTCACCGTCTGTTGCTCCAAAAGATACTTTAAACTCCTATGATTTGTCCTAACAAAAAAAAATGTTGTCCCAACAAGTAAGGTTGCCACTTCCGAATGACCAAGACAATAGGCATCAATTCTTGTTCATATATTGACTTCAGCCTTGCTTTGGCCGAAGAACTAGGATGAAGTAGGCAATCGACTACTGATCCTACATGAGCATTGCTCTCAATCCGTATCCTAATGCATCTGTCTCCACCATAATTGGTTTACTGAAATCTGGAAGTGCTAATATCGGTACGCTATTCATTGCCCTTTTCAGATGTTCAAATGTCTGTGCTATTGTTCACCCCAATTGAAATTATCTTTATTCAACTGCTCCGTTAATGGTCATGCTATCGTGACATATCTTCTCACAAACTTCTAGAAGTACCTTGTTTGTCCCAAGAATCCTCTCAACTCCTTCAAATTCCTTAATAAGGGCCAATCAACCATAGTCTTGATCTTGGACTGATCCACCGTTACCCCCGTTCTGGTCACCACATGTCCTACGTACTCTACCAGTAATTGTGCAAAAAAAATTTCTTCAAGTTAGCATACAACTAGTGCTCCCTCAACGTCTTTAAAACTGTGCTCAGGTGCCCCATATGTTGTCACTGTATGACTATACATCAGAATATCATTAAAGAAAACCAAGACAAATATCCAGAAATACGGTTAAAAAACCCTATTCATGAGGGATTGAAATTTCGTTGGGGTGTTGGTGAGGTCAAACAACATCACTAAGAACTCATAATTGCCTTCATATGTTCTGAATGTTGTCTTGTGCACATCTGCTGGCTTCATCCTGATCTGGTGGTACTCTAACTTAATATCAATTTTTTGAGAAAATGTGTCCCATAAAGCTCATCTAAGAACTCATCAATCACAGGAATAGGAAACTTATCCAACACCGTTTCCTTGCACCGTTTCCTTGTTCAAAGCCCGTAGTCCGGGTAGAATCTCTAACTACCATCCTTTTTTCACCAACAGGACGATACTGGAAAAATAACTCACACATGACCTGATAATCCCAGCCTCGAGCATCTCCCGGATCAGTTTCTCTATCTCATCCTTATGAATCTGGAGGTACTAATATGGTTTGACACTAATGGGAGAAACACCCTCATTCAATGTAATAGTGTATTTGTGCTCCCTCTGAGGAAGTAACTTACTTAGCAATTTGAAAGCATTAGTAAAGTGTTGTAGGAGCTGTTGGACCACTTCCGAAAACTCTGCCAACTATGAATCTCGACCTCTTCAATGCTCGGCAACTCCACCAAGTAACTCGGTCCTACTCCCCGAATCTCTTGACCATGGTTTTGAGCGACACCACAATTTTGCATAAGCTAACATCTTTCAGCACCACTTTCCTACCCTCCACTTGGAATTTCATCTTTGTGGACTTCCAATCCACCATCATCTCTCCCAATATTCGCAGCCACTTCATCCACAAAATCACATTCGTGCTGCCCAAATCTAAAGGAAGTCTTTTACCACCTGTAGGTCATGTAGTGTCAAAGTCATCCCCTTGCAAATTCCTCGATTTTTCTCCACCTTCCTCTGTACCCATCATGACGTCGAAGCTTTCAGTAGCTACCAACTTCACCCCACTCCACTACCTGATTTAAGATAAAGTTGTGTGGCCCCACTATCCACCAACACCACCACCGACAGTTCCTTGATCCATCCACTCACCTTCATGGTGTGATTTGGGGTAAATCCCACCACCGAATTGAGGGACAACTCCGTCACATCCAAATGCAGGTGCTCCTCTGTTGCTTCCTCTTTTGATTGCTCACTCTCTGTATTCTCCTCCTGAACTAAGATGTATCGATTTGAAATAACAATTGAGCAGTTACTTTTTAGAATCGAGAAGGGACTTCTACAGTCCTTTTGTTCATAGCCTTCAG